TTTAAACATAAAGTCCTTTGAAAAAAACTGATAGAAAAATGTTTGTGCATAAAAAATAGTCAGCTTAAGCAATATTCAAACAAACAGAAAATAAATTGTTTCAATTATTTTCTGACATAAGTAATTATGGTAATTCCAAAAATTGAATTTACAAGAATAAAGTTTTATCATTATGTATGAAGGAGTTACATTATTAAATATAACAGGAAATCTACAATTTGACTTTAACCCTGTAGAAAGGCTTTTTATCATTTAAATATGGTTTGAAGGAGGGGGAGGTTATCCTGCATGTTTCTGTGTTCTATTTCATCTTTAATTTAACCCTTTGAGCATTTTGCAGAAAGAACAGGATCCATGTGCATCAAAGAAAAAGATAGCTTTGATTAATTCAGTTTGGTTTAAAACGTAGGAGTATTTTAACATGCTATTATGTTAGTAACTATAAAGATAAGCTAAATTCTTGTTGGTGTTTATAACTGGTTGGACATCTTTTTTCAAAGTCTTCACTATAGAGTAAGAGAAGCTGCAGACCTGATCAAACATCTGTAGGCACTAAGGAAACACATACACTTCCTTTACCTGTGGGAGCACAGGCTCTCTCAGAATTATTTACTCCTAGGAGGAGAAAGACAATATTTTGATTCTGTCTGTTCTCAGGGCTCATTTTCAGAAAAATCAAATTTTTTCCAGATGTTGAACAGCTCATGAGTGCCCTGAACAGCAACCAGATCATCCACTCTGAGGGGGAGCAGAAAGCACCCCAGAGACATTAGACAGGCATGGGCAGAGTCAATCTCAGTTGTCTGTAGTTCCCTAAAGAGAACAGGAAACTCTCACTGTGTAGCAGCTTCACCCACCTCAAGACATTACTGCTTGAGGGGGCCTTAAGTGGCCAGATACCAGCAGCAGGAATTATGTTATCCCAAAGGTCCTGAAACATTTCTGGGAAAAGAATTTGAAAATTTCCCACACTGCAGTGGAAAGGTTTTGTTTTGTCATCGTTACATATATTAATGCTGTTGAGCTACAAATGCTGACAATTATATGGTTCTGGAATTATCTCATATGAGCAAGGTAAATGACCATGCTTATTTTGTATGCTGGTCACATTGTCTGAGATCATGACATATTATAACTAATTTCATTAAATAGTGAGATATAGTAACTGAGTATCTGCATCTCTTTAATTAAAGTTTCTATGGCATCATAATTTATACAACAAAAATTGGGGCAGTCTTTACCGAAGTTCTGCCAGAACGATAGCTTAGTATTAGAAACTAAAACTGAACAGAGTCCCTCCTTAGTTTGAGATAACAGTGGACTCTAAGAAAAAGTAGTCTGAGTCATGCTGTTATTGCTCAAAGTCATTATACTTCACTTTCCTATTTTTAGTCCTTTTTTTAAAATAGATGTCAAGCCCAGAGACTGAAGATTTAGGAACACTGAAATTAAAAAGAAGATTGACTTCTTTTATTAGAAGATTCAGTTTAGAACAGAGAGGCAACATGTATTTGATTCACAGGTTAAATTTTGTGTAAGTAAACATCTGGACTACAAATGTTTATAAATTTTTTTAACATCTTTGTTTTTTAGTTCATTCACCACATCATTCCTAGCTTTCATCTTTTAAGTCTGCCATCTCATTCATGTTTCTGTCAGGTGGTGAACTTCCTGGTTTTTAAACTATTCTCATGTTATCTCTGCACTCCCTCCTTTTTCCCCCCCGTGTGAAACACATTTCATGTTGAATACTGTCAATATATTGACAGTATCCACTGACAGCTTGTATTTACATTTACATGTAAATGTCTGTTCATGATGTTGTTAAAGCAATTGCATTTCTGCAAAAAACAGCAGAAATTATAAAAGAATATTTCATGGTTCTCAGACATATTGATTACATTTATGGAATTTGTGAAGAGAAAGGGAAGTTATGTTGTTAACAGAATGGAAGATGTGAAAAGTGTGAAGTGGTAAAATCTATTGGTGAACTGGTTCACAGTGGAATTGTGTTTGACTCCCTACTTCCCTTAAACAGTGTCTGAAATTGGTTGTAAAACAAACTGAAAGTTTGTTTTGGTTGTTCTTGGGGTTTTTTTGAAGGCCTGATTATCTTGCAAAATGTCCTGCTCTTCCTTTTCCAGAAAAGCCCTTCCCCATCCCAAACCTTCAGCTGTTGCTTAAGACTGTGACTCAAGAAGGAAGTTCAGAGAAGTATGACAAAATCAGTAACACACACTTAATTAAAACTGATCCAAGATATATGGTGAAGAATTTTATCTTAGGACAGTGAGGGTGTATTCCCATGCAATGACTGAGGGACTGGATCCTTTTGGAAGATGAAGTGCCTCTAACACAGCTTGTGTAGCCATTTAGACTTAATAAATCTCTAAGTAAAGTTTTATTTGAGTTTGGTTGGACTTACATTAATTGAACAGAATTACATTTCATTTCAATGTCACAATTCATTAAATACCCAAAAAAGGGGAAAATTATTTTGCACAACAATATTTCACTTCATCCCCTAAAGATAATCCAGCCATTGCAGGGAGTTAAAGAGGGGGATCTCACTTATGGAAAGGCAAACCACTCGATTGAACACCCTCTGAAGAAGTGAGGCTTTGAAACACCATGTGAAACTGGGGAAAACAATTAGTACTTCCTACAAGATGTCTAGCCTGAGACTTGAGAAGCAGCTTCCCCTATCCTAGCTTAATTTTTCCTGAAATAAACATCAAACCAACAGGTTTTGAACACACCTGTATAGCCTCTGCCAAGATGAAAAGTTAATAGATCCCAACGGGTATGGCTGTTTGATCAGTAAGGTTATTTTGTGCTTCACTCCACTGGGCTTTGCAAGTGTTCCTTTACTGAACCATGGTATAATTATTGCTTGCAGAAAAGAGTTTGCTCTGTTCCCAGCCTTGTGCTGACAACAGCCTGCAGGCCTGTGCTTTCACAGCTCAGCAGAATCTGTCCCATTGGAACAAGGCCAGTGACAGGCAGATGTAACCACAATATTGACCAGCCCTGCTACATAACATCTAGATGGGCAACGTGCCGGTACAGTACTGGTACAGCTCCAAGAAGCTTCCCAAAGTAAAAGAATGACTGTGAGACAAATCCTGTTTCCCTGCTCACTTGCTCCTCGCTTACTGCTTCAAGGTAGCTCCGCAGCACAACCCTACTACACCTTTTTGCCAAAGGATCCTCACTGTGTTCCTGTAGCTTTTGGTGCAGGGAAAACAACTGTTTGGGAACATTCACTGTCTCATGTACTGGCAGGACAACTCTATCAAAGTGAAGCAGCTTAGAGTGGTGGATTAAAACAAAACACATCAGGAAAACACACAGCTCAGGGGAAACTTTGCCTTTTACCAACCTGATTTACACCTTTGTTTCCTTAAACACATTACATTTACAATTATGTATACCCTCACCCCAGCATTCACCCAACAGTTACCCTGGAGAGTATGGAAGTGTGTCTCTAGTAAGCAAGTGTTATTCCTCACAGCTCCTGGTCACATTTGTCACCTCCCCCTCAGCAGAGGTGTTGGGTGTTCCTGACCTTGGGGAACTGGTAGCGTGTCAACATGAAGAGAAACAATGGCTTCAAATATAGCATTGTTACTTTTTACTTTTTTTTTTACTTTTTTTTTGCTATGTTTCTTTCTTACAAATTCATGCAAGTTTTGGATTTTAAAATAAATCAGGAGTTGTGTCCTGATTATGTCTAAAATAGGCAGGTGAATTGGTCTGCGTTACATCTTGCTTCTCCACAACAACTGGCTCAGCTCACATGTCAATCTTTTAGAATGATACAGATAAGATGAGCTAACTAGAAGCAGCTTTATTATATTATTTGAGATAAATAACTGTGGAATTTTTAAGTTAACCTTGATTTAAAATTAGGCATCTAAATTAGTACCCAATCAAAGAATGTCAGTCTCCACTGATCTTATCATGGACCATGCTCTTAAATCACTCTCAGGCTTTGAAAATTCATTTTCATTTTGGACGTCCAAATTTAACAGATTTGTCCATGGCTGTGGAGGCAAAAGACCAAGTATCATTAAATTCTTTAGATACCAAATTGTAATTATAGGTTAGGAGGAGAAAGGGCCATTATTAGGGGTTTTTTAGATCACTGGGTTTTATTTTCCTTTCCCTTGAGGACAAATTGCGTGTACTTAAAATCGAGTTTTTATGGTGGAGAGTTTAGTTGTGAATGAATATAGCTGCCTATACATCCATAAACATGGTCTTAACATCTGTACATGCCATCATTAAAGTCACTATAGTTCTGAAAATTATTTAATAATCAAATATAAAATGGATCAGTGAAAGCAGTAAACTGCACAGTGAAAAAATGTGCTGTCATGCAAATATTGTTTGAATAGAGCCTTGCTCTGAATTAATCGGCAAAATTTCCACTGAACTCCACAGAAGATCTGTGTAAATAAACAGTAAAAATCATTTGCTCTTTTCTGTAGTACAACAAGTTTAATTTTATAGAACAGTGAAATCAAATCTTCTTTTCTCCTCAGAAAGCAGTTTATTAAGTTAATGGTCTAACTTAAACCCCGTTAGCTGTGGAGCAACACTATGGCTATAGAAGTACAATAGTTTAATTGTAATGTGGTCCAAATACAGAAGGCATTGAAATATCTTTTTAACCAACCAGTTCCTTCCACAAAAATACACTGCAGCTTCAATGGCAATTAAAATACAAGCATTAAAATTGATTGTTAATGACTACAGAGTTGAGCCCTGTTGTGCAGCTGCTGCTCTCACACACACTCTCTCAACAGCCTGGTTCTGCCTGCCAGGCTTGGAGAGATTCTCGGGCCCTGCTCAGTGCTGCTGCCACCACTGCAAGGTCCTGCATCCTCTCCTGCAGTCCCTGAACCCAGGTTAGTTCCTGCCAGCTGGTTTTCCCCGACACTAGGAAGCAGAATAATCCCTAGAAGCGGTAGTTAGTTGTCTCTCGCAGTACTCACCCGAGCTCCTCAGCCATAGCACGGGTGGCAGACATGACCACACAGCTGGAGGTCAGTAATGCCAAGAGAAGCAAGCACAGGGGTTTCACAGCTCCTGCTTCCCTTCCCGTGAAGGGTGGGGACAAAGTTTGCTTCTTAAGGAACCACTACAAAATTGCTTCTCTATTTGACTTTCAAAGGCTGTTGTAGACAGGGCTTGCATAACACCACCCTCTTCTCACAAACACATTTTTTTTTAAGTGAGGTGGGAAGTTTAAGTATTACTTTAACAGTTTAAAATTCTCAAAAATATATGAGAAAACCTTCCCCAGAAGCTATAGCATAATAATATTCATAATATATACATATCTAGACAAAATTAATACAAGATGAGATAACACTTTCATCACAGCAAGGAGACTCAAGAAAAGAACTTGAATATGGATCAAGGCTTTATTTATTTAATAGGGGAACTCAGGTCTATGTTGCATTGAGGATATGATTACCTCAGATTGAGATTAAAAATTCTGTGGTCAGGATAGCCTCATATAATGCAATTAATTCCTCCAAATTAGGAATCACTAGAAATCACGCTAAGACCCCTAAGCTTTTTTTATTATTATTATTCTTACAGTAGTAGCTATATATTAGAGCCTTAAAGGATGTATGTTCACCTCTTTAAAGCCTAGTTTTAACACTGCTGTTAGTGCTATGGACATATTTGAATCTTCATATTCAAATACTTTCAAATGTGGGAGCTTCACCCACAAATTTTGTTTGAGGAACAGCATTTTCTGTCACACTGTATTATTCTCTGTGTAATATTAAAGGATTCATCTAACCCTTCATGAGAGGCAAGTATTGGAGGACACCAGTAATGACAAATGAGCTACAATTAACATGGCATTTTTCTGGTTTAATTGTTCTTTAGTTACTTGAAAGCTACAAAAATATTTTGAAATTTCTCACAAACAAGTTTTTATTGCATTGCACAAAACCAAATGCAAGGAGCCAGAGGTTAAAGCAGCAGTTTACAATTTTTAGCAACAATACTGGGAAAAGTTAATAGTGCTTCTGATATCAGGCAAGCAAGGAAGAGATCCAATATACCAAAAGTTGTTCAGGGACAAAAACTTCAGACAGATAAAACACTTGGACATTGAAACAGAGATGCTTTCTTAAGTGCTGAAGATGTCACTGCTATCCTCACAGCATTGCAAAACTTAAAAAGAGATAGTAGGACATGCACTTGCCTTCCCCTGAGCTCTACTCCTGACAGGGACAGCCTAGCTCCCCGCAGGGCACTTGAAAATTTTAGATGGATTCAAAGGTCTACAAACAAGACAACATTCACAGAAGTTTATTTTTTTTTCATGAGAAAACTTGTTTGAACCTCCAGCCAGAAAAATTCTGGCAAGTGATATAAAAGCCATCATGGAAGAGACCAGGAGGCAAAGGGCACAAAAAATTGAAGTCCTGGCCCTAGGGGAGAGGAGAGAGATGGGTTAGTCACACTCTTCTTGGTTGGGCAAGACATGTGAGCTTAGATATAATATCTAAAACATTCTGCTCAGCTCTTCCCTGTTTCTGTCTTCCACCTCAATAATTTCCACGAGAAGTGGTTGGTCAGGATTCTTTTTTCAGCATCCTTGTGCCCTTCTACATCCTTCCATACTTTTCCCTGACATCTAGACATGATTTCTTATTCTTTTGTATAAAAAACACATTTTGCAAGGGGGTACAAACTATTGATCACAGAAGTCAGCTCCAAAATTATGAACATTTCCTCTAATGACTTTTAGAGAAATAATTAAATTTAAGTACCATTATCATATTATTTTCCTACTATATATAAACCTTTTACGTAATAAACTCAGAAGGCTTTGTCATGGTGAATATTGTTATCTTTGGAAGACTTGGTAATAAATTTGGTATAGGAAAGTTTAGGAATAAAGCTTAGAAACACAGATTCTCCCTGAGTCTAGTTACTGACATCCTATGTTTTTCCCTTTGAGAATTTGAGAAATTTGAGAAAAAAAATACTATTTTCTCTCCTAGACCATTTCAGCCCATATTTTGCTGATAGTTCCTGTAAGGCATTGTGCAGTAGATATCAGGCCAAATGAAACCATACCAAGTTAAGATAAAAAAATTACAGCAAAGACTAATCCGGATTTTGCAAAGTTTACAACCTTTGAGATTTTCAAGCACATAATATCAGCCAAATGAAGACCCTGCTTCAGAAAGTATCTGGATCTTAGTCAAAGACACCTAAGGTTGCGCTGAAATGCTTTTTCTGTCAGGGAACAGTGATTTGAACGGAAGCTCAGCTCTTCCCTGACTGCAGGCCAGCGTGAATCCAGCCTCTGGGTCCCTTCCTATGGGAACACTAGGCAGAGAGACCCTTTTCAAAGGAGGTCAGCCTTTGAAACACGAGCTGACCTTCAGCAACCAAGACTCCCTTCTCTTTTGCAGGCTTTGTGCACTCTCTACTAGAAAGCAATGCAATGAGTTATATTTTAATTCTCAACCGCTAAACGTCCTTAAAAGTCTCAAGTTGTTCCTGTTCTCACTAAAAGACAGGAACTGAGCATGTTTGAGAGATACAACTGTCCCTCGGCCCCTCTTCCTCCTCATTTTCCATTTACAGTTAGTTCTGCTATCAGACAAAATCCATTTTTAGCGCATAAAAGTAATTTTGCTAATCACGAGTAGATCCCTGAGTGTTTCAGGGAAATTTTTTTTGGTCCTAAAGGATCCAATCTGCTGCACAATCACATGCAGCTTTCTGCCACTCCTCTGGAGTGCCACTCCTTGCAGGAGAGGGAGAGCAGGGAATAGGCTCCTACTGTTGTCGAACTACTACTTCCATCAGAGAGTAGAAAAGCAGAGGGTGCCTGATGGGCAGAATGCCCTCAAAGGGGTAGAGGTCCCACAGACTGGCCTAGGGTCCAGACTTGTATCCAGCTGCTACAGAGAAAACTCCAACCCTAAATAAAGATAGTCTTTCTTTCCTAGTCACATAAAGGGAGCTGTTTAGTTAAGGCCGACATCATAAACACGTTGTGGTATCTGAACTGAGAATAGCACTTTTCCCTGCAAGAGCACCTCCTTTTTTTATGGAGGCTGATAGGTGAGAAAATGGAGAAGTTTTACATTTCACTTAAAATTGAGCTGCAGAGCTTTCTAAATCAATATTGGTGCTCTCAAATCTCAGACAAAAAAAATCTGTCAAAGGAAGAGAATGACTGTATTCATCATCCTAGCCATCAAAGTTATTTTGATCAAGTCTGTGTGTATTTTTAATAACGATTTTTCTTCTCTCCCAAAGTCTTGTTATTCACTTGAAGGCAAAATTATACAAAAAGAGGAGCAACTTTCTGAAAAAGTGTAAGAACCTCTGAGACAAGATCAATCAGTATTTTGTCAACTCAGGATCTTGAAATATATGTGTGACAGATGGCACTAGGAGCATGGCTCTTCACAATACAAGTAGTTTTTAAATATTTATTTTAACAACATATAATGGTGGCAAGACTAAAAATCACAGTTTACTCTTTATTTGCCATCCTGAAGTTATTATTGTGAATATATATATATATATATATATATATTCATGGCATTCATGTCCTGGTGTGAACAAATGGAAAAGACTTTCTCAGTGCTATGAAAAGCCTCAGAAAGAACTACATTTTGAACTTAACAATTCTGAAATACTCTCAAAGTGTTTCATATATCATCTAAGTCATGCTGAGATTTTCACAAGAAACCTCTGCAGAAACCACTTGGAATCACAAAGAGCAGAGAGCAAACGTTCTGACTAACAGCCTTGTCACACCAGGCTTGGAGCACTGCTCCCAGTGCTAAGCAGTGTTTTAAAACAAACATTTAAAATTTTAAAATTCTAAGAAGTGTTGCTTAGAATTTATCAGAAGATAGCTGTTCAGTTTAGAGTACACACAAATAAAGCCTTTCCAAAACTGCAGTACTTTTGCCTACAGCACAAGCAAAGCTATTGATAAGGCACGTGTTCTGATGGAGGAACCGGCGCAATAGAAGACAACAACAAAAACAGCTACACACAGATCAGTGACATCATTATTTCAAACAGTATGACTGCACTTAAAGGGTTGAGGCTGTTGGTCATGCATCACATAATTGTATTTATAGCTGCATTTATACACTGGTAATTCATATATGCATTTGAATATTTAATACGTAGTTGCTATTCTCTGAAATATGACTAAAATAAAAAAGAAATACCACAGGTTGTATCAGAAACTTTTTATCTAACTCTATAATTACTCAATATTCTATTGTATGATTTCACAATCATAAAATGTAGTTGTCTTGAAATGAAATTCTGCATAAAGTTCACTCAAGCTCTTTCAGATCAACAGTGGTATAATGGAGATCAGAATCTGATCTGTAACACTTAGACAGAAAATATTTGCACCAGCAGCTACCTCCTCACAGACTGTCAAAGGAAATGGGAAGTTTATATATTGCTATATATCAGAATAAGGAGCACAGTTTGCTATTTAAAACATTTACACCACTTTGTGTATTTGCTAGGAACCTAAATTAAAAATAACATCATTAACCAAGAAGAAAAATAATTTTACACCCATTTGTGCTTATAAGCAAGCTTATAAATTTAAGCCACTTCTCACATTTCTCAAATACTAAATCAAAAGGGTAGTTTTTAGCTATAGTGCCATACAGATTTTAACCATAAATGCAACTGTATTTACTACGATAGTTAGAAAATAACAATATTTACTAGGGAGAAATGACAATGGCAAAATGACAGCAGAGAAAAAATACACATCATTCACTCTTTGAAGATGACTGCTCTAATATCCTGCTTCTTCTTCTTCTGTTCTTTATCAAAAGCCATTCTAATTAATTATCTCCTCAACAGTTATACGAACCTTTTACAACATTTATACTAGAAACAAACAAAGAGTGGATATTCCATTTCTGATTTCAGAGAGAAAAAAAGCCAAAAAACAAAACAAAACCCTCGAGTAAAATTTTGCAGATCAGAAATATATTTTTATGGACTCAAAAGAATAAATTTTCCCTTTACTGCAATGCCACCAAAACAGAGAGAGAAAAGTC